AAAAAAAAAAAAAAAATTTAAAAAAAAACACTAATTTTCGAAAGAACCGACGTAACAATAAGACGGGTCGACCCGTTTGATAATATAATGAATAAATGTACAAATTTTATGTTTAATAGAAAAATAGAAAAAATTGAGAGGGTGAAATTACGAAATTGCACCTGATCTGCCTTGTAATTTCTCGGCGATGAGGTTCCAATTTTGGGGTCCATAAAGGGCGACGAGTTCCCGGAGCTTGGAGTCCTCGGCCGGCCGCCAGTGGCCGCGGGAGCAGAGCTTCGGCTGGCCGCCGTTGAGCGGAGAAATTACGTCACTGCCCCCGGCGGCGTTTGGGGAGTCGGACATGAACTCGTCCTCGTTGAGGCTCGCGTTTAAATCGAACATTGTCATTTCTTGATTTTCTCCGAACAAATGGTGGCGGGTTGAGTTCGGGTTTACGAAGATGCCCGCCATTTTCGAGATGATGAGTTTTGATGAATTAGAATGTATGTGTGTGTGTGTGTAAATATACAAAATAAATTTAGCACTAGCTAACACAGATTCTTGGCTTGTTATATGGAAAAAGTAAAAATAATTTAATTTTAAATTTTTTTTTTGGGGGTGATTTTCTGACAAATTAATGGTGGTGAGAGACTACTGTTACTGAGGTCAGGTGTGAGTGTGTGAAGGGGAAAAAGGAGTAAGGTAAAGATTTTAGGAAGATGAGTGAAAAGGAAAAAGAGAAGATGGAGTTTTTATTTCCGATAGTTGGGGACTTTTGGAGGGAGCAAGAAAGATAAAACAGTTAATCAAATCAAATCTATAACAGAATAAAAGGTGTTTGTGAGTGTGTAGATATATATAATAACTATCTATGGAGGGATTACAAAACAAAATATGGTTAGATCTAGGCCCATAAAACAAGTCGACAAAACGAGTAGAGTCGAGCCCGAACGAGCCAGAAATTGAGCTTGAGCCGATCTCGAGTTTTAACGAGTAGTACCATAAAAAAAAATAATATAAAAATTCTCTTTTCGAGTCGAGTCGAACCAAGCTAGTTAAGAACTCGAACTCGAACTCGAACAGAGCTTAGCCAAACTCGTTCAATTTAACAGAACTAGTTAGAGCAAGTCAATGTTGCGCTACAGTGCTCCTCTACTTTAGAATTGTGCGAAAAACTCCTCCAATATTGCACTTCATTTTTGCACTACTCTGAAAATATGAACAGTATCGCGCTACATATAGCCGACACTATTCATCGCGCTACAATTTTCTTTTTTTTTTTTTATTTTTATT